TGAAGGGAGACTCAGCCTTCACTAGAGCCAAGGGTAGGGGCAGGGTTGAGAATGCTCTGGGCTCAAAACATGGACAAAGGCCCTGCAGTAGCCATAAGGAGAGAAGTGAGACTGGAGGTGTCACTTGGCCTTGGTGTTGGCAGCTGAGATAGTGCACAGGCGGAGGAAGAGGAGCAGCTGGGCAGGCAGGTGGGTGCTTTTTTGCAGTTGAGATGCTGTGGGCATCCAGTAGCAGAACCCTGGTATCTACAAGCTGTGAGATGTAGACCTGGGAACCCTGGACACGCGGAGGTGGCTGGGGCCGGCAGAGTGCACCAGGAGATGCAGGGAAGGTACAGAGAGGGCAGAGAGTGACACAGAGGGGAAGCCCACCCACCCTGGCTTCTGTTTGCCCAGGAGATCTGTGACTGTGTTGTTCTTGCTCCCTGCTTAGGAACGGACTCCCATTTCCCTTTTTCTCAAACATTGCCCAGGGAGACATTTCTCCCAGGGCAAAGGGGAGCTCAGCCAGTGGGCAGGATGGCTGCTGGGGCTACATCTGTGGGATCCCCTCCCAGGGGCAGCACTCCACCTTCCGCTGCCCTGGCCATGCCCCTTGGGAATAAACCTATTTTACCAGGGGCTTCAGCCTTCCCAGTGGTAGTGGCTGGTGGTAGCTGCGGTCTCATAGTCGAAGCTTTTGTAGATAGCATGTCCACTGCATGCAGGGTCCTTTGCTGAGTGCTTGGTGAATGTGATGGTGGGTAAGTGGCAGAGTTGGGTTGGATGCAGTCACTTTGAAGCCGTACCATTGGCTCCTTGGGGCAAGGGGTGTGTCAAAGGATAGATGAGTAGCCAGAGTTCCAGGAGACGCCTGTCCTTGTGGGTGTGTGTGTGGCCAGGGGACAGTAGAGGTATTCCTATCAAGGTCAGATGCTGAGCCAGAACTTGAGTCCAACCAGAAGGGACGCCGTGGGGGGATTGCCTTGCTGGACGAGAGATTCACTGCATGCTTCATACCAGCATTTGTTCTGCAAGTCTGTGTATTTTGCAAGGCCAGCATCCTCTGGTAGGGAGCTGCATATAATTCTGTGTTGTTCAGCTTTTTCCCTACAGGGAAATTAAGGAGGATGATTATCTTCCCTGAAGTAAAATACATGTCATGGGTCAGACAGGAGATGATTTGTTAAAATACCCAGCTGACTCTGTATACAGCAGATCCTCACCTTTATGAAGAATATTTTAAACCCTGGAGTCTTCCACAATTTTACTTTTTTTTTTCCCTCACTGAAGAGAAAATAGGTAGTGTTGAGCAGTGCAAAGGGCCACTGTCCCGGGCCCTTTGCAAGCATGCTCTCCTCTTTTGCTGAGACACCCCCTTGAAGTTAGCATTATCCCCAAGGCGGAGGAGAGCTAATAGCAGCAGCTTACCTATAGAGCACTAAGCTGGCCCTCCCAGACTGACCACCAGGCCTGTTCTCCTGTATGTCAGAGTTTGTTAGCCAAGAGCCTCGGGTGTGTCCCCAGAGTTGGAGGCACCACAATAATGCAGCTCCATGGCAGGCTGGCTCTGTTTTTCTCCCGTGTGGTCCCCAGCCATTGTGTGAGTGACACCCAGCCCTGAATGCAGCTGCTCCAGGCTTGCAGACACAAATGGTCCAGAATCTGATAAAGAGTCAGGCTCGCCCACCCAGCTTCCCAACAACAGGAAGTCTTCCTAAAGATTGCTCTCAGGGCCCTGCTTCCCACCTCTTCCCCTCAACCCCAGCGGCCTGTTCTCTTGACTTTCCCCGGCCTTTGTTTTTCCTTCCCGGACTTCACTGATAATTGCACCAGCCCCCTCCCTCCCGTGCCCTTTATTAAAGGTAGGCCAGGGGAGACCTCCAGAGGTTTCCAGAGAGACCGGAGCCTTCTTCCTGGTCCTCAGCAAGGGGGATTGTTGCCGATTCCCTTGGGGAAGAATCTGTCTCCTACTGGCTGCTTGCCCGGTTGAGGACTGTGGGGCAGGCAGGGGCCTGTGTTTTCAGGGGAAAATGTAAAATGTGGCTAAAGGTTACTTGTTCAATTATCTTGTCAACTTAATAAGCATATTGGTGAGCGAGAATCTGCTTAATTTTTTCCCTGTGACCTATGGAAATGTTACATTGAAAAGTTAGGAAATGTCACAGTAGAAAAATCAGGAAACCGAATTGTGCATAAAGAAGAAAATTGGTCCCCCATAATCTCACCATCCAGGGAAGAATAGTGAACAGTTTGGCCTGTGTTCTAGGGATTGTTGATGAAGACTTCATTTAAGAGTCAGACTCGGGTTAAAAACCCTGGTCCACCTGCTCGCTAATTTTATATGCTTTGGGCATCTTAACCTCTTTGGAGGTCATTTGCCCAGCAAAAGATGAGAATAATGGCAGTGCCTCTCCCGGGCTATGGTGGTGAAGATTCAGCGAGAGAACATTTTTGGGCATGAGAGTGCTTGGTTGGCTATGGTTAGCTCTTGCGATCAGGAATGCAAGTCAGGCAGAATCTTGCTGTCGAAATTCAGTATCTAAGCATCTGTTGCCATTATCAGCTGCAGGCGACATTGGTGACGTCACACTTTGTAATTCCAGAATCCTGGATTGTGTCTGCTGCTTCGCGTTATGGGCCTGGAACCTTTCAGTAGGGTACCCAGATGGTGATGAACGTTCCTAACCCAGCAGTCTCACTGCTCTTTCCTGACCTGGTCCTCACTGGGACCCAATGCCCATTTGAAAGGCAGGCCCAGAGGAGAGTGTTAGTCACCCTGGACAAGGAAGGCCCTGGTCGTCTTGCCCAAGCACATACCTGCTCTTTTGCATTTGGCAGTTCCCCCTTGTCCTTCTGGGAGGCTGGTGTGTGTAGACACAGATTTGGTCTGACTCAAAATTCAAGCAAATCATTTTCCAGTAATTGGTCCCAGGGCTGGGAATGTAACTCGGGGACAGAGCACTTGCCTAGCATGTGCAGTCCTGAGTTCATTCCTCAGTGCTGGAAAGAAAAATCATTTTGTGCCTTCATGATACATGATACCCTGTTTTTGTTTTCCTTAAAATATATCAGAATTGACTAGCGGTGTCCCCCACTGGTAAAGTCTTGCCTTTCATGTGCAGGGCTCTGGGTTTGATCCCTAGTACCACAGCAGGGGGAAAAATTGGTCCCAGAAATAGGCTGACTTTCTGGTCCTTTAAAGATAAAACTTTTAAATATAAACTCACGGGGGAAATATTAATGTCCGTTGGTGTTTGTCACTAGTGCCACCAGCAGGGATATTGTTTAAAACCTTCCTGGGGAGGTTATTACTACAGCTACTGGAGAAGCCGAGGCAGGAGGATTGCAAATTAGAGGCCAGTCTGGGCAACTTAGTAAGATCCTGTCTCAAAATAAAGTTCAAAAAGGGCTGAGCACGTAGCTCAGAGATAGAGCACCCCTGGTTCAATTTCCAGTACTGTAAAAATAAATTAATTAATTAATTAAAAATTCTTAAAAGTTGCCTTGCCCTTCGGTGTAGTATCTAGTTAAGAGGAAACAACCAGTGATTGACAGGATTCTAGAGGGCTGCCCTTGGCCAGCCCTCTCTGTGTCTTTCCTTCAGGTTCACAGATGCTGGCTCTTTGGTTTGAGTTTATTCTGTATTCTCAGTTGCTCTCTCCCTCTATTAATAAGTTTGTATCTGGTGAAATGCTCTTTATCTCTCTTGCAAGGTCTGCATTGTGTGGAGGGGGAAAAAATGAGTCCTCCCCTGCTTGCAAGAAGCTGCAGGGTTTGAGCTGAAAGTGTTTGCTCTCAGCAGCTGGCATTCCTGCTAAGGGAGGAGAGAGCTTCCCCAAGTTCCATGGTGATCACTGCTGCCTGATTGTTCCTAAAAGAAAACTTGGCACCCAGAAAGCAGTTGAAGGGGAGAGAGCACTTTTCCACACCATTGCAAGTCCCTGGGCTTTGCCAGATAAATGACTCCTAGGAAGGGGGCAGGTGGTAAAGGTGTTTAAAGGGGTCTGGGCTTGGGGGAGCCCTCTGTTTCTCGGCGCATCTACCCGCCAGGTGTCTGCGGGGAATGAGCTGCTGTCCATAGCAGCCCGCCCTCCTCCCATGCGAAGGAGTTTGTTTGGTCAGTGTCAGTTCAGCTTTTTAAAATTGGCTCCCACTCCTCAGTATTCATGGCCCTGATGAAAAGCTGTTTTTATGAATCACTTCAATGTTTTGTTGATATTTGTGTGTGTGTGTGTGTTTAATGATTTCTGGGCTTTGTAAAGGTTTCGTGGAACTTACGAGTATTTTCAAAGACTGCCTCTGACTAGCTCTGTCACTGGCCTGGGAACCTTATTATTTTCACCAGAATACTGAAGGGTTTGGAGCCAGGTGCTGTCCTACCGCCTTTCTCTCTCTGGAAGTATTTTTGGTGAAGGATGCACCACCACCAACAACAAACCATTTAAGTAACATTTGGGTGAAGGGTGTACAGTTGAATTTTTAATAAGGCAGCTAGGGTTTGGGGGTATTTATGACACCGGGTTTCCTTTTGTTAATATCATTTTGTTCTTTGGTACCTTGGCCCTGGGCTAATAGCCCTGCCAGATTCAAGTTTTATACCAGGTGTTTCCTTCTAACTTAACATTCCCTGAGGCGCGTTGACTATGTTAATGTTTCATAAGTCAGACTTTCCAGCCCCTTAATTGCTGCAAGTTCTTGGCCAAGTTCCCGTGCAGTCTTTAATAGTCACTGTTTATTATTGAGGGTCCATAACTTGTAGAATCGGATTCAGGCTGGTTTTGCTAGAGATGAATGTTACTGTGGTTGGAATGTCCTGAGATTAAATAATCTATGAGCAAAACTGTGGTGCCTATGTCCTTTCTTGGCTCATGGAATCTCCTGCCTGTCAAAGTCCTATTTAAATTTGGCTTTTAAGTAAGGCGCTTTGGAACATTGAACTAAGCCAGCTCTTGGTGACCCCCGCTACTCCCACCACCTGGCATGGCTTCTAACCATGTTGCATATTTTATTTTGTCTAGGATTTTCAAGGAAGCCATGTCTGACAAAATGGCCAGTTTCCTACATATTGGAGACATTTGTTCTCTGTACGCCGAGGGATCTACAAATGGATTTATCAGCACCTTGGGGTAAGAGCACACAGTTTCTTGTGTGGCAGGATCTTGTTTAAGACATCATAACATCTGCTTAAAAAAAAAAAAAAAAAATGATTTTTTTTTCCTAAGATAAGCATGTTACTGTTTTACTCGGCTTTTCCAAGGGCGGTTGAAATCAGATTCCAAATCCCAAGTTAGCCAAGTTTAACCTCTTACACAAGAATACTGTTTTCCATCTGTTTTGAAAGAACAAACCCCTCATTAGTTAGGACTCTATGAATTCAGAACTTCTTGGATACTTAGGTCTCTTTGAAGCAGAACCTTCCTTAACTTTCCTACCTAAAATTGCCGAATGCATTTGAAAGTTACAAATGGCACCAAGTTGTGTCAATCAGGTTTTTCTGTTTGTGCTTTCTTCAGTCTCGATTCCACTTTTTTTCTTTTTAAATTTTTTTTTTTGTAGTTGTAGATGGACAGAATGCCTTTATTTTGTTTAATTTTTATGTGGTGCTGAGGATCGAACCCAGTGCCTCACGCATGCTAGGCAAGTGCTCTGCTTCTAAGCCATGGCCCCAGCCCTTGATTCCACTTTTAAGGATATAAATATATGCCATTATGCCCTCATTGGATTATCTTCTCCCCTTTCCTCTTACTCCTATTGTCTAAAAGAGGAAATGAGAAGCCAAGTGGCCCCCAAGGCAGACAAGAGCAGAATGGAGGATCAACATGGTGAACTCCGGACAGTCAGGAATGGTGTGTACTCTGTACGGAGGAGTACTTAGGCTTGGGGAGGCTTTGTTGAATTTGGCAAGAGCTGATCTCAAGTATATGGGGAGAAGGCAGGTCCATAGTGTCTCTAAAAACCTCTATTTTACAGCAGCCGGAATCTTTCTTTTAATTATAGCTATTATGGAAATCAGGCTTGTTTTCTGGTACTGGTGCTATGGGTATTCCCAAGGCCTCATTCAGCTTACTCCACCCTCAAGGAGGAAAGTATTTCAAATACAGAATTGCAGCTCAATTAGACCTGGGTTCTCACTGTACAGAAAGTTTGGTTTCCAGTCATCTGATAAAAAAGAAGTCACTGGGTCTGCCTGGTCACCAGTCTAGTGACTGCTTCTATATTGGATGTCCCTACCTGGTGGACCTCTTCTTCCTCTCTGACCGCCCCTTCTTTCATCTCGGCTGCCTCCTCCTCCTTTCCATCTGCCATGGTTGAATTTTTCACCCTCTTATTTTTCAGCAATGGCGACAGTAATGTACAGCAGCGGTAAGCCCTGCGTGAGCCCCGTGGGTGTTCACTGTGTGCCAGGTGCTGTACTAGGTCCCGTGCCCACACCCTCCTCTTAATCCTCAGCACCCACTTCTTCACGGTGTCACCATGGTTCATGGAGGCAACACCTCTGCACTTCAGAGAGGTGCAGATGCTTGTCCAAGGATTCATAGTTTGGAAGGCTCTCGTCTCCAAGGCCAGGGGTCCTGACAGTTACCTTCTGTAGGGCAGCCTTTCCCTTCCCAGCTTCCCAGAGCACCCCTCCTCACTGTCTGCCCACAGCTCTGGTCTGGATGTCAGGGCTGTCAGACTTCTGCCCCACTGAATGCTCACCATTCCTCGGGGTCCCTTGTCCCACCGAGCCATCCAGGCTCACATGCATGCGGGTCAGATGCAGAGTCCCAGTCAGCCCCTGAGATTGTACCTCCTTTTAGGGTCCTACCTCTTAAAACTCCTCCAAGGTTTGAACTCTTTGCTTTATTTTTTCCTATTAAAAAGTATTACAAACAAATTAATAAATGAGCCCCCCTCACCCCCTGCACACACATAAAGTAAAATATGGATTGATCCCTAGCACTGCAAAATTAGTCTTTAAAAAATATTCCTAGTTGTAGTTAGACACGATATCTTTATTTTATTTATTTATTTACTTAATGTGGTGTTGATAATTGAACCCAGCGCTTCACATACGCTAGGCAAGCGCTTTACCACTGAGCCACAACCCCAACCCTGCAAAAATGTTTAAAAAAATTAAAAAGCAATCAAGAGAGGGTGGCTGTTCTTTAAAATTTGGGTCTCTAATACTTTTTTTTTTTTTAACCTGGGGATTGAACCTAGGGGCACTTTATCACTGAGTCACATCCCCAGACCCTTTTATTTTTTTCATTTTGAGACAGGGTCTCACTAAGTTACTGAGGCTTGTGATCCTCTTGCCTTAGCCTCCTGAGTCTGTGGGATTGCAGGCATGTGTCAATGTGCCCAGCTCTGGTACTTGCTTTGGATGAATACTGTGTTCACCTTTTTATCTGCACATATTGGAGGATAGTTGGCATCAAAATTGATTTGGAAAACTAAGTTTGCGCCCCCCTTCTTCTTTTTTGATATGTTTAATGTTATTTTATGGAGGACCAGTCATGGGGCTCAGTGGGACTTGGTATCTGGCTCCTTGGCCCTCTCTTGTTGGTGGAGATGGGTGTGCTCACCTCCAAGTGGCTTCATCTGCTCCTTGAGTTTTAGAACTCCAGCCCAAGGAGTCACAGCTCAGAAGAGAGAGCCAGTGTGTTCACAGATGCTAACTAGTGACGTGCTTCTGAGTCACCTCCAGATCCTGTTAGAAATGAAGGTTCTTGGGTCCCTTCCCTTCAGTAAGCCTGGGGGGATGACAGGGTCCTGGGATGAGTGTTATTTAGACAGAGAAAGACTGATGAGCGAAGGTGAGAATCTTTGAGACCAATTCTTCCGTTTTACAGATGAAGAGACTGAGATCAGAAAGGGTGAGAAGGACAGTCACATCTGCAGGTGGCAGAGAGCCTTCAGCAGTCTAGACCTGAACAGGGCCTTTTGTCCTCCTCCTTCCTCCTGGTTTGAGAATTGGATGAATGACAGCCCTGCCTGGGGTTCTGCGCCCACCTTTTCAAGTCTTTTGTTGGCTTTGGTGGTATTACCACTAACAGGATTGAGGGTGGGTTTGTTTTATTGGTGCATTATGCTGTTACCTAATGATGGGATTTGCGGTTGCATTTTAGTCCATGCACACAGTGTAACAATATAATTTGGTCAATATCCCTCCTTGCACTTCCTCCCTCCCTCCTGCCCCTCCTTCCACCCCCGGGTCAGTTTCCTCTCTTCTGCTGATCTCCATTTGCTTTTCATGTGATTACACCCCAGGGTGGAGTTTTTATAGCCCTTTATACTCTTTTGAGTTTTTGCAAAAATAAGTAAATGAATGAATGAATGAATGAATAAATAAATAAATAAATAGAAATAATAAAAAAATAAATGATAGAAAAAGAAACAGAAAGCCTCAGACCCTGGACCATGTTGGCGCTCCTGTTGATGCACAGTGAGGTCTTATGCTCTGAAGCCTGAGGAGGCCAGATGCCCATGGCTACTCTGGACACTGGTTCACTCACCAAATGGACACTGACTTCCAGCCTTGGGCATCTTCTGGGCTGCACACTAGGCTCCCACGACCTCCATGGAGCTTGTAGCCTAGAGCATCTTTGCTTTCTGCCGGGGAGGTTGGGAGGTTGTTTATTGGTGATTTATTTTCCTGCTTTGTCCACTCATCACGTTTGAAGCTCCAAATCCTTCCCTCCCGATCTCTGTGGGTTTTCTCTGGGCTTCCGGCACCTAGAGACGGTACCCTCCTTGTCCTCCCACCTCTATTTCAACTCTCCCACTAATTCCAGTGTGACTTCCTCTGCCTCCCACTCTCGTGGCCTCAGCCACATTGGGTTTCTGGCTGTGTTTTCTTTCTTCTCTTACAGCCTTTTCAGTTACACTGTCCTTATCAGTTTGCTTTTGTGGCTTCTGCAGTAGCCTTAAGCTCACTAAGGGCTGGGGCCTGGCTCGTTTTCACCCTCACATCTCAAGGCCTAGTACAGTGCCTGGCGCAAAGTTGGCACCTCAGCTAACCATTCGTTGGATTGCACTCGCCCTTTTTTTGATGTCTTCTGACCTTGGCAGTGTAGCAGATTGTGCCCACATCTATCACGAATATGGTTCAGGGCAGAGAACAGTCGCCTAATGCATCCAGCATAGAAGCAGAACCTTGGGCTTTTGGATTAGATGGAATTCCATTTCCTTTATTGCAAACAGCTCCCTGGCAGAAGAACACGAAGTCTACATTTTGTGCAGGAAAAGCCCTGGGATATTTAATTTTTTGCCGAGAGTTTTATTTTCCTAGACTTGGTTTGATCTGGCACTCATCTCTGTTTTCTTTGCAGCCTGGTTGATGATCGTTGTGTTGTACAGCCAGAAGCTGGAGACCTTAACAACCCACCTAAGAAATTCAGAGGTAAGGTGGTGGCCTTCCCGAGGAGTCACCTTGACTTGCTTGAAGGGCATTGGCTTTGTGGGGGCTGGAGGGTGGAAGGTGGTAAAGCAATGATAGGTTTATTTACTTACATATTTCTTCTACAGTGTGAGGCATTACAGCTTCTTGAATAAGACATAAATAAATTTATTGTCAAGATTTGGATGGGTTCTCCTAGGGCTTTCACGTGCCTATTAAAAAATGTTGGTGCTGATTCAGTTTAAAGCTTTTCATTTGTACATGTATTCCTCCAGCCGAATAGGATGTATGGATCCAGTTACAGGAACATGGGTTATTTCAGTAGATCTCATTGTCCCTTTTGGGGGGGCCCTGATAGTTTTAGATACCTGACCTGGAATGAGCCACTCTTAATTATTGCGCTTGCTTTTAAAGTGAAAAGATAAAGCCAGGAAGCTTTCCCACCAATGTTGGATTTTCTTTTCTTTTTTTTGCCTCTTGGTGTCGGTGTCTTGAAAGGTAGCTTAGTTGATTGAAGAAGGTGTATAAAGTACAGTTGCAATCTCCCATAAAAAGCACTTTATTTTTTGATGTGGTGGGGTTCGTTATAACCACCTACTGGAATTATCTGGGGAAACTTTCAAATTCAGTAGATGCTCAGGGCCCCCCTCTAGATCAATTAAGTTAATCTCCAGAGGTTGGGGACTGGGGTACTGGCATTCTTTGAGGCTTTCTTAAGTGATTGTTTTATGCAGATGGTGTTGAGGAACCCCTGGGTTAAGCATTAACTTAGGGCCTCCTTTTCAAAGGACTGAAATCTTGCCATTTGCAGATTAGATCCTTTAAGTTATAGGTCCTTATTGCTGAGTGATTTAGAAACTGGCTTTTTGGTTGAAGGCTAAAGAGAGGAGCCTAAGAAGGCAGACATTCAGATGGAAAGAAGCCATTTGAGGCCACTGGTATTGACCTGTATCCAGTTGGCACGAGGCTGTCAGGAGAATGTTTTCATCTGAAGATGCAGGGGGCGGGGGGACAGGGGTACTTTGAAAAAAGAGTTGTTGATGCAGGCCCTCAGTAACAGGAGCCAGAGGTGGCTGTTGCCTTGGCTGCCTGTTCAGCCTTAATCTCTGCTCCGTGTTTCCTTCCAAAACAAGACCTTGAGTGCAGAAGGGAGAGATTTGATCCCATGATCGTGATACAGCCACTTAGAGAATTAATTCCCTGCTCCAAGATTGATTGACAGTGCATGGCAGTGCTGAGGATGCTGCCTGCGTTAGCCCAGGGAGTCCACCCTGCACCCTGGGGAGGGGATTGGTGTCCTCAGGCGCACATACCTTGTCTGGGTCATGTGGATGGAGATGGGTGACTCTCAACTTTGGCTGCACAGAGAAAGCACCAGGAGAACTTTTCAAAAATACAGTGTGTGTGAATTACACTCCCAAGGATCCTGTTTTCATGGGCCTTGGGATTTTTAAAAGCTCCTGAGGTGATTCTCTTGTGCAGCCAAGGTTAAGAACCACTGCTAATGGCGCTTGAGCTGTAAGCTGCCAGCTTTATTGCTTGGGGGAAGAGCTCATCCAGGCTCAGCTTTTGTGTTGGGGACTCCGTGGAGTGATGTGCATCAGGAGCCGGGCTCCACTGTGGGTTCTTATCCCTTTCCACGCAGGCCTCGGGGGTGGGGAAGTGACCCTGGGAGAGATGGCAGTGCAGCGAGGCTGTTTGTTTCTGTTTGTAAAAATAGTGGAGAATACTGTTTCTTTTCTAATTGAGAAATAAAAATTGTGTCTAATTATGATATTTTGAAATATGTGTACATTGTGGAATGGCTAAATGGCTAAATTCAGCTAATTAACATACACATTTCTTCCCATGCCTTTTTTTTTTTTTTTTTAGTGAGAGCATTTAAAATCTTTGCATGAAAGATTTTTTCAAGTAGATGTTGTTGTATTATTGTTATCTATAGTCACCCTGTTATACAGTGGACCTCTTTTTTAATTGTAGGTGGACACAGTATCTTTATTTCATTTTTATGCGTTGCTGAGGTTTGAACCCAGTGCCTCAGGTGTGCTGGGCGAGCACTCTCCCACTGAGCCACAACCTCAGCCCTTACAGTCAACCTCTTGATAGAATCCTTCTAAATGAGATTTGGTATTTTGGACCAACATCTCCCCAGTCCTTTAGCCCTTCCACGGCCTCTGGTAGCCACCACTCTGCCCTGGATTCTATGAGCTCGGCTTTTTAAGATTCCGCATGTAGCTGGGCGCGCTGGCCCACGCCTATAATTCCAGTGGCTCAGGAGGCTGAGGCAGGAGGATTGTGAGTTCACAGCCAATCTCAGCAACTTAGTGAGGTGCTAAGCAACTAAGTGAGACCTGTCTCTAAATAAAATACAAAAAATAGGGCTAGGGATGTGGCTCAGTGGTTGAGTGCCCATGAGTTCAATCCCTGGTACCCAAAACAAAGAAATAGGACCATTGTAGGGGAAGTGAGAAGAGAGATGTTTTCCTGGTTCTGGGGGGTAAAAGTCCTCTTGCTTGGATGTCTTTTTCTGGTGGCTGACTTGAAGGGACCGTTTTGAGATGAAGGCAGCAGTCTGATAGAGGTCATTTAGAAGAACCAAACTCCTTTCATGGCCTGGCCTGTTTCTACAGGTGTCACATGGCAGTGGCTTGACTTGTTGACCGCCTTTCTCCATAAATTAAAATAAAGGTTTCAAGGTTGTGAGCTGTTTTGTTCTGGTGGGAAAATGTGGTTCCAAGCTAGCTGTGCAGCGGGCTTTGTGAATGTGGGTCAGGATGTCCTGATGCCACGTGCTAGACCAGAGGCCCCTGAACCTAGGTGAGAGCCCTGGGCACACCTGCCTTTGCAGCTGCTGCGGTTGCTGGGAGGATCGGCTCTTCCAGGTGCGACGTGAGCATTGAGGATTTCGCAGTATCCCTTCGGCTGTGGTGTAGCAGACTTAAAACTTTTTTTTTTTTTTCCCTAAAATGAGGGAAAACCATGTCTCTTTTGGATGAGAATGCTGCCCTTTCAAATATAAGCATATTTTGAGGTTGAAGTCATTTTGATGTTTAGAAATGTCACAGAGGGCAGTTGGGCAATTTGGAGGCATTTCTAGACCATTTCTGTGCAGTGCTGTTGCTCCCTGGAGTTTAACAAACACATGGAAAAGAGAGACGCTGGCCACAGCCCAATGGGATGATGGAGCCCTTAGGTCAGCAGTCGAAGGAACTGCCTTTAATCATTGGGGTCCCCCCCACCCATTTTACTGTTTCCTTGTCAAATCATTTTCTGTACGGAGAATCAGCGTACTCTGTACTTAAGTTGATGGGAATCAGGGTCCTGTTTATGCCGTGCTCCCCTGGCCTCACTCTAGGGCCCTGACTTTGGCAGCTCCTCCTGAGGTCTGCAGTGCCATGGTTAATAACACAAGTCCTCGGCCCGGGCTTTCTGGGTTCAAGTCCAGGTCCCACTACTGCTGACCCATGTGGCCCTGGACTAGTGGCATCTGCCCACCTTGGTTTTCTCCTCTGTGAAACAGAAGAGAATTGTCCCCGCCTCATAGACTTACTGTGAAGGTTAAATGTGTAAGAACTGACGAAATCCTGTTGTTGGTGACAACGAGGATAAACCCAAAGGACCTTGAGCTAAGTGAAACAAACCAGGCACAAAAACACAAATACTGCATGATCTCAACTTGTGTGGGGAATCCTAAGTTGATCTCTTCGAAGTTGAGAGTAAAATACTGGGAGATGGAGAGAGAGTGGTCAACAGGTACAGTGTCACTGTTAGGAGAAGTAAGTTCTGAGGTTCTCGGGCACAGTAGGGGAACTCTAGTTAATGGTAATCCAAAATAGCTATAAGAGAGGATTTTGAATATTCTCACAAGGAAGAAATGATAAGGTGCTGGGGATGTAGCTCAGTGAGAGGGCACTTGGCTGGCACGCATGAGTCCTTGGGTTTGATCTCCAGCTCTACAAAAACAGCAGAAGAGCTAGGTACAGAGGCACACACCTGTAATCCCAGCTACTTGGGAGGTTGAGGCAGGAGGATAGCAAGTTCAAGGTCAGCCTGTGCAACTTAGTAAGACCTTGCCTCAAAATAGAAAAATGAAAAGGGCTGGGATGTTGCTCAGTAGTTATACACTCCAGATATAATCCCTGCTACTGAAAAAAGAAAAATTAAAAAAAAAAAGGAAAGAAATGGTAAGTATCATTTAAGGTGATAGGTTAATCATTCTGACTTGAACATTCACAAATGTATAGATGAACTGAAACATCACATTGCATCCCAATCACATACAATTACTATGTCAATGAAAAATAAAAATGATTAAAGGTAAAAAAAAAAAAAATGAGTGCTGAGTAAGCCTTGGCCCTTGTTAAGGACTCAGTAAGCCATAATTTTTCTTATCTTTTCATTCCCAGTACTTACAACAGTGCCTGGTACTCATAAATGGGAGCAGAAGGAAGGGAACCGTATGTGAATCCTGTAATGATATGGTGTTATTCTTGTTGTCTTTAAATGGTTTGTGGGTAAGGATGTGCACATAGACCCCAGGGGACTGGATTTGAGGACCAGTGCTCCCCTATACAAGCTGAATGACCATTAAGAGGTGGTGTAAGTTTTCTGAGCTTGTTTTTCCCGTCTGTAGAATGGGAAGAAACAATTGCTTCCTTACAAAGATAATAGGGTTAAAGATAATATTGATTACAAACCTCATAGAGTCCTGGGGATGTGGTATTTCTCAGTGATGGGCAGCTGTCGTCTTTCACAGTAAATGGAGAAGGGTGACAATGGAACACGCTGGCTTTTCTTTCATGGTTTAAAGTGCATATCTAGAATGAATTGGTTCTTTTTTTTCCTGATTTCTTTGAATATATCTCCTGTCCCTAACTTTGTAGGAAGAAAGATTGGCTGCACATCTGTTTTCACATAAGCCAAATCTTTTTCATCATCTGAATGAATTTTGGACAGTGTCATTGCCCTCCAAGTGACAAGGAGAGCTGAGATGTACACTAATT